TTCCCCAGCCAGCTTGGCTGGCTGGGGAATTCTGGGAGTTGAAGTCCACCCATCTTAAAGCTGCTGAGGTCGAGGAACCCTGAATTAAGCTACCGAGTGAAACACAAGTTGTGGAGGGGGGCCCTTTTTGCTCATTGCGGGGGGGCAAGTCTTTTTGTAGCAACCTGGGAAAAACCTTGCAAGCGGAGCGTAAGGAAGGGGCGAAGGAGATGGGTCAAGCAAGCAGCTCTAAAATCGGGGGGGAAATCAGAGGACGACGGTTCGTGCACCCACAAGAGGAGGAATCCATCTATTTTTGGGATTTGGGGTTACAGGACTGAGTGTCAGATCAGCTGCGGGAAAGGCACCCCGGTAGCTTCCCGATTACAGCTTCCAAAATCCGGGCGGCCACTAGATGGCAGGAGAGCGAGCTCCCCGCATCGTCCGGATTTTTGCATCCCAGATAGCCTGCCGAGATGTCATGATCTCACCCCCGTCTTTTTTTAAAGCTGATCGCAGCTCATACAAATTGCTTAACATCTCCAGTTACTCTCCAGCGCTCCATGCGCGGCTTAGCAGCGCCCCCCAACTTCACCGTCGGTACTACAGCGACCCCCCACCCCCAGCAACGACAAACAACAAGCAAAACGTTCTCACTCTGAGTCGCTTCTCTAAAACGAGTTTCCAGCTTTATATACCCTTCTAAAAATAGCCTCTCGCTCCCAGGGCCAATCAGGACGGGTCGAATTTCGAATCGGGCCAATGGGGTGAGGCGTCACGGAGAGGTTCGGTCACGCCAGGAGGAGCCGAGATGCGCCGCGCGCGGCCATTGGGCTAGTCTGACATCATTGGAACGCGGTGTAACGAGTTTGTTGTTATAGATTGGGCAGCGTTCGGAGCCGGCGTAATGGGATCACGAGGTGGCGGAGGGCGGGGGAAGGGAGAGGAGTAAAGGGGGAGGAGCGAGTGTGGCTTTCAGCAGAAGGGAGGGGGAGAAAAGAGGAGGGAGTAGAAGGAGGGGGAGGTGGCGGCGAAGGAGAGCTTTGAAAGGGAACTTTTGCAGCGGGTTACATTTGCAGTCACCTCGGTGTTTGCAAATATTGAGTAGGCTTCTCAGCAACTATCTTCTGGAGACAGAGCCCCAGGAGTGGAAAGCAGCCTCAGCAGCAGCGTTGGGGAGACTCTGCAAAAGCAAAACAAAACGCGAGAGCAACAACAACAACAAAAGCCAGCCAGCCAAAAGAGAGGCGCAAAAGAACCCTGATACATTGCTGTGCAATTAAACTTTGCATGAAACTTTGCTTTTTTATATTATTTAACAATATCTACATCGATCTCTCTCTCCCTCTCTAACTTCGTCTGAGATACTGAACAGGAATTTAATATATATCTAGCGGTAGATTGCTATTATTATTATTATTATTATTATTTTCCCTTAAAGGTACTTTCTCCTGGGTATTTTTTCTTGTTGTTGTTGTTTTTTTCCCGTGATTTTTGCTCTGATTTTGGTGGTCGTCTTTTCTCTGGAGGAGGAGGAGGAGGAGGAGGAAGTGAGACTTTGTAAATAGCTGGCCGTATTCCTGTCACC